TATCTGACTCGAAATTACAAGCACTGGCAGAAACATGGAATTCCGACTATTGATGAAGCCTTACCAGGATTCGGTCACATATTACCAGTGATAAGCATGAAGATATACTTCGGTGATTTCTGTCGCAAGATCTACGACGACGCCAAAGGCTACAGTATGGTTGGCATTTACGATTTCACGGTGCCGGTGTTGATGATTCGCGAAACGGAGTTGATAAAGACGGTGCTGCAGACCAATTTCTCGAATTTTTCTGAAAATGCTGTTTTCCTCGATCCCAAGTTAGATCCGCTCGTTGCGCATAATCCCTTCGTCCTCATCGGTGAAAAGTGGCTGGCCAGCAGAAAGCGCCTGACCTACGCATTCTCCAGCATGCGAGTGAAGATCCTGCTCGAGAGTATCAAGAAAGTGTGTGGGATGTTCGAAGATTATATCGACGGAAAGATGATCAACGGGAAAGCGGAATTTGAGATAAAATCCCTATGCGCCAGGTACACCGCACAGGTGGTGGCGGGCGCCGGTTTCGGCGTGGACGGATATTGCTTCGACGATTCGAAAAAGGAAATATCCTTCCGAAAAAAGAGCCTAGCCATTTTTGAGCCAAGCACTCGATCATGTTCTCTCTCCTATTTTTCATCCCGTCGTTGAATAAAATCTTTCAAATGAGTTTTGTTCCCAAGCACGTCGATCATTTCTTCAGGACGTTGGTCGCGGATCTCATGGAGCAAAGGAGAAAAGACAGAATTCCGAGGAACGATTTTCTCCAATTGATGGCCGAGCTCGAACTAGCGGAAGGCGACAAGTTCGACATTGAGACGCTCACGGGACAGTCATTGTCCTTCATCATCGACGGTTACGAGACCTCCAGCAACGTTATGAGCTTCATTTGCTTCCATCTAGCTAGTTATCCGAAAGTACAGTAGAAATTACATGAGGAAGTGTTGTCCATGCTCAATAAGTACGACGATACCATCACTTATGAGGGTTTGAAGGAAATGACGTATATGGATCAGATTCTCAACGAGTCCTTGAGGAAGGTGCCCGCGGGAACCGTCATAAAGAAGCGATGCACGGAAAAGTTCGAGCTACGGGAATCCGATGGACTCGTCTACCGCATAAAACCTGGAATGGAAGTTCTTATACCAATTCAAGGCCTACACAAGGATCCTCAATATTGAGAGAATCCCGAAGTGTATGATCCCGAAAGATTCAACCCGGAGAGGAAAAAGAACATCGAGAGATTTGTCTATTTTCCTTTTGGCGAAGGCCCGCGAATCTGCGTGGAGATGAGAATGGCTCAGTTGCAGATAAAGGCGGGTCTGACAATAATTCTGAGAAAATACAGCATGGAAGTATCACCGAAGACGCGACTACCATTACAGTTGATTCCTGGGGCTATTTTGCCAACAGTAAAAAGCGGTTTATGGGTCAATTTCCGCAAACTCTAAGTACGAATATTCTTGTTTAAACTTTTTTCGAGTTTTCAGCAGTAAATAATATCTTTATGTGTGATAAAAGATTTGAAATATCTTATGTGTGATAAAAATATTAATTTTTACATAAAAATAAAGTTTTCCTTGAATTAATTTATTTAGATCTTTATATAAAAATATAATATTATAATACTCTTTAAAGTGTTTAATAATTCTTTAAGTCTCGAAAGTAAATGCTTCTTTAAGTCTCAAAAGTAAATGCTTTTTGTACAATATATGAAAATGATAAATTTGTTATATGTTGTTTATAAAAAAATAAGAGCACAAAAATTTTTACATTTTCTATTACTGTATTTTTATGTAAAAATTAAAAAATAATTTTGTTTTAAATATTTTAAATATCTTAAAAAATAATTAAAAATGATATATACATTTGTTATAAAATAGCATGTGCGATACGCAATAGCACAATAGATACGTGAACGCAGCGAGAATGAATAATTAATTTCTGGCAAATAAACATATTACTCATTCTTAATGCTTCAACATTATTTGATGTCAAATTCCTCCTTTTCTAAGGCCGATAATGTTATTCAAGCCAGTCAGCCTTATAAGAATATGTTGATTTGTTCAAATCAATCTTCAGAAACAACATTTCGCAGATGACGTTCAAAACATACAATTGCAATCGTTTAAAAGTTACATTTGTGAATACGAAATAAATAATGATAATATTAACATAAATGACATAAATGCTGACAATAATATTTGTGATCATGACAGTGACGATGTCTATGATAGTGATTGTAATAATGACAGCGATCACAATGGTGATGACAATGATATTACATATAATGATGATAATCCAATTTACATTTAAGCCTTAGCTTAACTTCATGAATTACTGAAATAATATCTCTTGCGATCATGTAAATAAATTGTTAAAATTATTGCAACATTATTGCAAACAGATCCTAGGGATCGACGCTGCCAACGTGTTAATAAGTTATCGGATTACTATTTCATTGTAATAGCTGTTTAACACTATTATTCCTGTATTATGTTTAACCCTGTTTCTTATTTCGGACGTCTTTACTTTGTTTAAAAGTTGTGTTTGTTTAACACTATTAAACTTTTGTCAAGTATACTGTTGATACTTTGTTCATGTTGCAGATTATTGTTATCACACCGGATCATCGCACTTACAAAAATTCTCAATCGTTTTTCATTTCTTGAAAACCTTTAGATTTCATCTGGATCATTGAAAGCATTAAACATCTCTCCTTTCATTTTCCGTAACATATTTGGATGAATATTTTTATTCATAAATTCTATTGTGACATTATTTTAAATATATATATATATTTTATAAAAACTTCATAAATCATACATTTCCAAAGTTAGAGAAAGCTAGAGAAAAATTAGTAAAACTTTTAATTAAAATCGCAATAAAAAATAGAAATTAAAATTTTTAATAATATCAAGACATTTCAATAACAGAAAAAAGAATTTCTTATTATCGTAGTATATATTTATTTTATCACCATAATATTATTCCATCATCATAACATCATATTTTATTTGACAGATTTGTTTTAAAAATCACAAATGATTTCTAAATCTACATTAAAAATTGAATTACTTCCTAATTCAAACATTTCCAATTCCATATTCAAATTTCGATGATATATTACCTCGCCGTTATCATTATTGTTAAAAATTCAGATAAGTTGAAACATGTTGAATCTGGTCAGTTGAAGTTAGCCTTAGTCTCACAATCATATTACTGTAATCGTTACTTTCACACATTTGTATCGTTATTCATATAATCTTTTGTTTATCCTTGTTTGTTTGTTCGATCCTTATTATTATTTTTATTAATATTTGCTATTTAAATTTTATTACAAAAACATTACAGATTATTTTATTATTGTTGACAGCAGGGCGATCAATCGAATCAATTCCAATTGAGCAATTAATAATTTACGCTTATATTTTTTTTCTGGATTTGTAATTTATTTATACAACTTGCTCGATGTTGTAAATACGATTCTTGTAAGATAAATAATATATTTTCAAAATAAATGTAAACTTGAACTTTGAAAATTTAAATTTCGTATATAATTCAAACTTATGTTCCTTAAAAATAATATGTAAAATATATTTTAAATTATAGATTATTAAAAAAAAACAAACAACAATTTGATATACTCAATTTGTACATAAAAATATTAAATTTGTATTTATCAATTCTGTTCACAAGATGATTCAATTACAATTAATTTTCTAAAAGTCAAATTCTATAACAAATATTAAATCGTCAGAAACACTTTGGCGCACGATATAATCGTTATTGTTATCCAATAACTCTTGTTATATCCTTGATTATTGTTATGCACAATTGCATTGTCGTTAAATTATTGTTGTTACTTCTGACAATTCGCACCGAGAGAAATTGTCTGCTATTAATGCCCGTGTTCTCAGTTTTTGTTCTTAAAGAATTTATCGTAGAAACTGTTTTGTTACTGTTAAATTGGCACCAAAAGCAAGTATAATTCGTCCTCTCTCTTCCTCTTTTTCTTCTGTTTTCTTTCTTTTCATCATCGAATTAAGATTAACAAATGTAGACTTTATTCGGCGGAAAACAAATCGATCGCTTGATAAAAATGATAAACATTTAAAGTGACATATGATACACGATGCATTCATTAAAGTTTTATATCTCTCCAGCAAAAGAATTACGTTCCGGATTATTAAGTTAACTTTAACTTGCAAACTATCTAACAATTATTAACATTAAAGTACAGTCTGACATATGTACGTAATTTAAGGTGAATAAACTTTGTATGTACATGAAATGTGCATTTTATTATTTCTGAACAGATATTATTTATCTTTCTTTTATAAATTTGAAACCAGAAAATTATGTTTAAACATATCTTTGTTAATAATTATAATTAATACAAATATCTAATTTAATTATATTTTAGAACTTATTTTGTAATAAAATCAGATTTATATCCAGGACAATTATTTTCTTTTACGAAAGAATCGATTAAGAAATATAATATATACATAGATCATAAAATATTAGGAATCTTAATTACATATCCTTTGTATAAATTATTACATTGTGTATATTGTATATAATGCAGATTGCATTCATCATTACAAATTTCAACAAAAAATTTTTTCCACGAAAATTTTTATTAAATATGCAGTACCATCTCTATGCTGTCACTTTAATATCGTTATATTACCAAATCATAAACGATTAATAACTTGCATCACGAAATTGTGCGCAATAAATGTCAACATGACAATAGCTTCAAAACATTAATTTTTTATATATTAATGTCTTATGTAGATAAAAAAAAAGATAAGAAGTACATTATGAAAATTTCTATCAGTATAACTACATTCAATGTAAAATTCAATGTAAAATAATATTTATATATAACCGAATGTACACAATAAATTTTATATACAATCAGAATTAAGTCTGATTTACAAAGTCCGATTGAAAAATAATAAATAAATTTATATTTTTTATATAATTTCAATTACATATAGTCACAAAAAATGATTCAAAAGATATTATTAAACTATTAATTCTACAAAACATTACAAGAACATTACAAGAATACGTATGATTATAAAAAAAAAGTCGAAGTAAAGAAAGAGAGCTTAAAAAAAAATTAGAACTTAAATAAATTCTCGTGATTACAACGGTCGAATAATGCCCCAAATACCATCTTCCACAATGTTTAATAAAACCGAATTATATTTTAATGGTAACTGCGTCTTCGGAGAAAGCTCTAGACTATATTTTCTCAGGAATGCAGCTAAACACGCTTTTATCTGCAGTAGAGCCATTCTCATTCCCACGCAGATACGCGGTCCCTCACCGAATGGAAGAAAGGCGAATCTCTCAATACTGTTCTTTCTGTCCGGACCGAATCTGTCGGGATCGAACTCTTCGGGATTTTCCCAGTATCGAGGATCTTTCGCCAGCGCTTGGGTGGATATCAGAACTGGCGTTCCACGTTCTACGCGACAAATGACTCCATCAGATCCTTTTATCTCGATGTCTTCCGTACATATCTTCCTCAAAAATCCCAGTGCAGGTGTGATTCTTTGTGATTCGCTTATCACTTGATCCATATACGTCATCTCCCTCAAGGCTTCATAGGTAATAACGCCATCATACTTGTTAAGCACAGATATCACTTCCTCGCGCAATTTTTCTTGCACTTTAGGATTGGTAGCTAAATTGTAGCCAATAAAGCTCAAAGTAGTGTTGGACGTTTCATTGCCATCGACGAAGAATGACATTGCGTGAGATGCGAGGACGGTCGAATCAAACTTATCATCTTCCGTCTTTTCCAGATCGACCATTAACTGAAGGAAGTCATTTCTACGTGTTGTCTCCCTTCTCCTTTGTTCCATTATGTCTACGACCAGTGTTCTAAAGAAATGATCGATTTTCTTCGGTATTAATCTCATTCTCAACATTTTACTCAACGACGGTATAAACAATACAAAAGTGTAGATAAGATTGTTCAAGGTGGACCCCTCGAGAAATGACTTGCCCATTGTGTAGAAAGATTCTTTTTCTTTCTCGTCGTCGAAGGACATTCCGTCTACGCCGAATCCAGCGCCGGCTACCACTTGCGAGGTAAATCTGGCGAACAACTCCTTTAACTCTAACTCCGCTCTTCCGGTTTTATCCAGTTTCTTATCCACATAGTTCTCGAATTTCTCACACACCTGTTTGACACTTTCCAGCAGGATTTTCAGCCGCATGCTGGAGAACGCGTAGGTCAGACGCTTCCTCCCGATCGTCCATTTTTCACCGTAGTTGAAGAAAGGATTGTTCGCCAGGAGCGGATCCAAATCGGGATTGATCTTGAGGCCATTCTCATGGAAATTCGTAAAATTCGTCTGCAGCACAGTCTTCACTAACTCCGGCTCAAGAACGAACAAGGATGGTGTCATGAAGTTATAAAAGCCCACCATACTGTGATTCCGATTGTCGTTATAAATCTTATTACTAAATTCTGAAAAATTTATCTTCATACGTACGACGTCCCACATGTGACCCAAGCCAGGCACAGCGCCACTCGCGCATGGTACGCCACGTTTCTGCCAATATTTGAAGTTTCTCGTCAGATAGAAATAAAGAATCACTAGAGCTACAAGGCTCAAGAGTATGACCATTACGTCCATTTCCATTTCTTGAGGAGAACGTACTGTCAGTCTGCAGCACTATTGTCGAACTGCTAGAATTGCAAACTTCACTGCTCTCAAAAGTAAGGCAGCTGTTAGCAGTGACCAATGAGGAACATGACGAGTATCAATCAACATAATAAAACGGGTGCTGAAGCGTAGATAAACGCTTGTTATTATTACGTAATATTCACGTGATAATAGCATGCAGTTTATGTAATACTGTTATGTTGTACTGCACATCAATTTTGAAATGTCATTAATTATTTTAAGATTTAAAAATAATTTCCATTGAACATAATTAATTATTTATTTTGGCTGACATTAAAATTATTACTTCTTATTGACATTGACATTGACATTTCTTATGTATCACTCTATATTACAAGCTAAAACGAGCGAATGAAAACTGCAAATGCTGGCTATTATTCAATATGAAGGCGACCTACATACTATGTTACTTTAAACTGTGTACATTCAGTTAAACTCGCGCAATGTTTGTTTATTATATAATAAATTCACGTAAATCTAATCTTTCTTATCGTATATAATATATCGATTAATATATATTTTTTAACGTGTACTATAATAATAAATAATTATAGTAAAATGTAACAATCTGTTTTTTTATTAGATGAAGTCAATGATGAAGTCAATTTATTCAATAAGAAGCTCTCAAAAGATGTTTTCGTTGACGCTGCGATTATTTCTGATAGCAAAGTTGCAAGTTGTAATAAAATATTTAAATAAATAAAAACTTTATTTTATTCATTTTCTAATTTTATTTCTTGTATTATATATTTTAATAATTTTATTTTAAACTATCTTTAATTTGTTTTTAATATAATATAAAAATAAATTCAAAAAATTTCTCTTTAAATATTTATTTTTTTAAAAGATACAAAGATAATATATTTATACAAAGATAATTTTAATCCAATTGTAGGAAGACATTAGTTGACGTCATATAATAAACTTCACTTGGTAATCACTATAATCGTCAATCAATTTTATTTTTGTTTTGCAATGGTCACTGGTTCATTTGCTGATCAATGTTATTAACATAGACTCGCTTCAGTGATATCTCGCTCCAACGACCAGGAAAACGCTGTTTTTCTCGATCCCAAGTTAGATCCGCTCAATGCACATAATTCCCAAGGATGGTGTCATGAAGTTATAAAATTCCACCATGCTGTGATTCCGATTGTCATCATAAATCTTATTACTAAATTCTGAAAAATTTATCTTCATACGTACGACGTCCCACATGTGACCCAAGCCAGGCACAGCGCCACTCGCGCAGGGTACGCCACGTTTCTGCCAATATTTGAAATTTTCTCGTCAGATAGAAATAAAGAATCACAAGAACTAAGAGGCTCAAGAGTACGACTGTTACGTCCATTTCTATTCTTGAAGGAAACCGTACTGTTAGTCTATAGCACTATTGTTAAACTAGAATTGCTAGAATTGCTAGAATTGCAAACTCCACAACTCCACACTCTCAAAAGTAAAGCAGATGATAGCAGTGACCAATGACGAGCATGACGAGCATGACGCTAATTAACATAATAATACGGGATGGTACTGAAGATAAACGCATAGATAAACGTTTGCTATTATTACGTAATATCCACGCGAAGCATGCAGTTTATGTAATGTTGTATTGCACATCAATTTTGAAATGTCATTAATCATTTTAAGGTTTAAAAATAATTTTGATTGAATAATTATTTATTTTGGCCGACATTGAAATTATGACTTCTTATTGACATTGACATTGGCGTTTCTTATGTATCACCCTATATTACAAACTAAAACGAGCGAATGAAGACTGCAATTGCTGGCTATTATTTAATAGGAAGGCCTATATACTATGTTACTTTAACTGTGTACATTCAGTTAAACTCGCGCAATGTTTGTTATTATATAATAAATTCACGTAAATCTAATCTTTCGTATTGTATATAATATATCGATTAATAATGCATCTTTTAACGTGTACTACAACAGTAAACAATTGTAGTAGAATGTAGCAATATGTTTTTTATTAGATGAAGTCAGTGTAAGGTCAATCTATTCAAGTAGCTCTCAAGAGATGTTTTCATTGACGCCGCGATTATTTCTAATAGCAAAGTTGCAAGTTGAAATAAAACATTTAAAAACGTAAGAATTTCATTTTATTCATTTTCTAAATTAATTTCTCTTATTATATTTTAATAATTTTATTTTAAAACTATCTTTAATTTGTTTTTAATATAATATAAAAATAAATTCGAAAAATTCTCTCTGAATATTTATTTTTTTAATAAAAGTTATAGAAGATAATTTTAATCCAATCTTCATTTTAATCCAATTGTGGGACGTTGGTTGATGTCATATCATAATAAACTTTTTGGTACCCACCTTGATAATCGTCAATGAATTTTATTACTGTTTTGCAGTTTCACTGGTTCATTTGTTAATCAATGTTATCCAAATAGACTCGCTTCAGTGATTTCTCCCCAACAATCAGTCGCAACTGATATGTGATCAAGGCTACATCAATCTATCTGACCAAGTATCGTCACACATCAAGAAAATCCGAAAGAACCGACATGACCATCGTATTGGTATCGTTGATTGTCGGAGTGTTTGTTGCACTCTACCTATATCTGACTCGAAATTACAAGCACTGGCAGAAACATGGAATTCCGACTATTGATGGAGTCTTACCAGGATTCGGTCACATGTTACCAGTGATAAGCATGAAGACATACTTCGGTGATTTCTTTGGCAAGATCTACGACAACGCCAAAGGCCATAGTATGGTTGGCATCTACGATTTCACGATGCCAGCGTTAATGATTCGCGACCCGCAGTTGATAAAGACGGTGCTGCAGACCAATTTCTCGAATTTTTCTGAAAACGTCGGTTTCTTCGATCCCAAGTTAGATCTGCTCGTTGCGCATAATCCCTTGGTCCTCACCGGTGAAAAATGGCTGGCCAGCAGAAAGCGCCTGACCTATGGATTCTCCAGCATGCGATTGAAGATCCTGCTCGAGAGTGTCAAGAAAGTGTGTGGGATGTTCGAAGATTATATCGACGGAAAGATGATCAACGGGAAAGCGGAATTTGAGATAAAATCCCTATGCGCCAGGTACATCGCACAGGTGGCAGCGGGCGCCGGTTTCGGCGTGGACGGATATTGTTTCGACGATTCGAAAAAGGAAATATCCTTCCGAAAAAAGAGTCGAGCCATTTTTGAGCTAAGCACGAGACATTTGATCATGTTCTCCCTCGTATTTCTTATCCCGTCGTTGAATAAAATCTTTCAAATGGGCTTTGTTCCCAAGCACGTCGATCATTTCTTCAGGACGTTGGTCGCGGATCTCATGGAGCAAAGGAGAAAAGACAGAATTCCGAGGAAGGATTTTCTCCAATTGATGGCCGAGCTCGAACTAGCGAAAGGCGACAAGTTCGACATTGAGATGCTCATGGGACAGTCATTGTCCTTCATCATCAACGGTTACGAGACCTCCAGCACCGTTATGAGCTTCATTTGCTTCCATCTAGCTAGTTATCCGAAAGTACAGGAGAAATTACGTGAAGAAGTGTTGTCCATGCTCAATAAGTACGATGGTGTCATCACTTATGAGGGTTTGAAGGAAATGACGTATATGGATCAGGTTCTCAACGAGTCCTTGAGGAAGGTGCCCGCGGGAACTATCATGAAGAAGCGATGCACGGAAGAGTTCGAGCTACGGGGATCCGATGGACTCGTCTACCGCATAAAACCTGGAATGGAAATTCTTTTACCGATTCAAGGCCTACACGAGGATCCTCATTATTGGGAGAATCCTGAAGTGTTTGATCCTGAAAGATTCAATCCGGAGAGAAAAAGAACATCGAGAGATTTATTTATTTTCCTTTTGGCGAAGGCCCGCGAATCTGCGTGGGGATGAGGATGGCTCAGTTGCAGATAAAGGCGGGTCTGACAATAATTCTGAGAAAATACAGCATGGAAGTATCACCGAAGACGCGACTACCAGTACAGTTGATTCCTAGGGCTATTTTGCCAACAGTAAAAGGCGGTTTATGGGTCAATTTCCGCGAGCTCTAAGTACGAATATTCTTGTTTAAACTTTTTTCGAGTTTTCAGCAGTAAGTAATATCTTTATGTGTGATAAAAGATTTGAAATATCTTATGTGTGATAAAAATAACTAATTTTTACATAAAAATAAATAAAGCTTTCCCTGGATTAATTTTAATTAGATCTTTATATAAAAATGTAATATTATAATACTCTTTAAAGTGTTTAATAATTCTTTAAGTCTCGGAAGTAAATGTTTTTTGTACAATACATGAAAATGATAAATTTATTATATATTGTTATAAAAAAATAAAAGCACAAAAATTTTACTATTTTCTATTACTGTATTTTTATGTAAAAATTAAAAAATATTTTGTTTAAGTATTTATTTTGTTTAGTTAATTTATTTTGTTAAGTATTTTAAATATCTTAAAAATAATTAAAAATATTATATAACTTACACATTTATACATTTGTTATAAAATAGCATGTGCGATACGCAATGGCGCAATAGATACCGTGAACGCAGCGAGAATTAATAATTCTGGCAAATAAACATATTATTCACTCTTAATGCTTCAACATTATTTGATGTCAAATTTCTCCTTTTCTGATAACGTTATTCAAGCCAGTCAGCCTTATGAGAATATGTTGATTTGTTCAAATCAATCTTCAGAAACAACATTTCGCAGACGACGTTCAAAACATACAATTGCAATCGTTTAAAAGTTACATTTGTGAATACGAAATAAATAATGATAATATTAATATAAATGACAATATAAATGGTGACAATAATATCTGTGACCATGACGATGTCTATGATAGTGATTGTAATAATGACAACGACCACAATGGTGATGACAATGATATTACTTATAATGATGATAATCCAATTTAAGCCTTAGCTTAGCTTCATGAATTACTGAATGTAATATTTCTCGCGATCATGTAAATAAATTGTTAAAATTATTGCAACATTATTGCAAGCAGATCCTAGGGATCGACGCTGCCAACGTGTTAATAAGTTATCGGATTACATCCTATTTCTTTTTAATGGCTGTTTAACATTACTATTCCTGTTTAACCCTGTTTCTCATTACCGAGATTTCGGACGTCTTTACTTTGTCCAAAAGTTGTGTTTGTTTAACACTGTTAAACTTTTGTCAATTGTACTGTATGATACTTTGTTCGTGTTGCAGATTATTGTCATCACACCGGATCATCGCACTTACAAAAATTCTCAATCGTTTTTCATTTCTTGAAAACCTCTGGATTTCATCTGGATCATTGAAAGCATTAAACATCTCTCCTTTCATTTTCCGTAACATATTTGGATGAATATTTCTATTCATAAATTCTATTGTGACATTATTTTAAATATATATATTTTATAAAAACACTTCATAAATCATACAATTCCAAAGCTAGAGAAAGCTAGAGAAAGATCAGTAAAATTTTTTAATTAAAATCACAATAAAAAATAGAAATTAAAATTTTTAATAATATCAAGACATTTCAATAACAGAAAAAAGAATTTCTTATTATCATAGTATATATTTATTTTATCATCATAATATTATTCCATCATAATAACATCATATTTTATTTGACAGATTTGTTTTAAAAATCACAAATGATGATTTCTAAATCTACATTAAAAATTGCATTACTTCCTAATTCATACATTTCCAATTCCATATTCAAATTTCGATGATATATTATCTCGCCGTTATCATTATTGTTAAAAATTCAAATAAGTTGAAACATGTTGAATTTGGTCAGTTGAAGTTAGCCTTAGTTAGTTTGTCTCACAATCATGTTACTGTAATCGTTACTTTCACACATTTCTATCGTTATTCATATCATCTTTTGTTTATCCTTGTTTGTTTGTTCGATCCTTATTATTATGTTTATTAATATTTGCTATTTAAATTTTATTACAAAAACATTACATTCCAGATTGTTTTATTATTGTTGACTGGTGAGCAGGGCGATCAATCGAATCAATTCCAATTGAGCAATTAATAATTTACGCTTATATTTTCTTTCTGGATTTGAAATTTATTTGTACAACTTGCTCGATGTTGTAAATACGATTCTTGTAAGATAAATAGTATGTTTTCAAAATAAATGTAAACTTGAATTTTGAAAATTTCGTATGTAAAATAATTCAAACTTATGGTCCTCAAAAATAATACGTAAAATATATTTTAAATTATAGATTACTAAAAAAAAAACAAACAATTGACAACAATTTGATATACTCAATTTGTACATAAAAATATTCAATTTGTATTTATCAATTCTGTTCACAAGATGATCCAATTACAATTTATTTTCTAAAAGCCAAATTCTATAACAAATATTAAATCGTCAGAAACACCTTGGCGCACGATATAATCGTTATTGTTATCTAATCTTGTTATATCCTTGATTATTGTTATGCACAATTGCATTATATCGTTAAATTATTGTTGTTACCTCTGACAATTCGCACCGAGAGAAATTGTCTGCTATTAATGCCCGCGTTCTCAGTTTTTGTTCTTAAAGAATTTATCGTAGAAACTGTTTTGTTACTGTTAAATTGGCACCAAAAGCAAGCATAATTCGTCCTCTCTTTTCCTCTTTTTCTTTTGTTTCTTTTTTTTCATCATCGAATTAAGATTAACGAATGTAGACTTTATTCGGCGAAAAACAAATCGATCGCTTGATAAAAATGATAAACATTTAAAGTGACATATGATACACGATGCATTCATTAAAGTTTTATATCTCTCCAGCAAAAGAATTACGTTCCGGATTATTAAGTTAACTTTAACTTGCAAACTATCTAACAATTATTAACATTAAAGTACAGTCTGACATATGTACGTAAATTAAGGTAAATAAACTTTGTGTGTACACATGAAATGTGCATTTTATTATTTCTGAACAGATATTACTTATCTTTCTTTTATAAATTTGAAACCAGAAAATTATGTTTAAACATATCTTTGTTAATAATTATAATTAATACAAATATCTAATTTAATTATATTTTAGAACTTATTTAGTAATAAAGTCAGATTTATATCCAGAACAATTATTTTCTTTTACGAAAGAATCGATTAAGAAATATAATGTATACATAGATCATAAAATATTAGGAATGTAAATTACATATCCTTTGTATAAATTATTACATTGTGTATATTGTATATAATGCAGATTGCATTCATCATTACAGATTTCAACAAAAAATTTTTCCACGAAAATTTTTATTAAATATGCAGTACCATCTTTATGTTGTCACTTTAATATCGTTATATTATCAAATCATAAACGATTAACTTGCATCGCGAAATTGTGCGCAATAAATGTCAACATGACAATAGCTTCAAAACATTAGTTTTTTATATATTAATATTTTATGTAGATAAAAAAAAGATAAGAAGTACATTATGAAAATTTCTGTCAGTATAATAACTGCATTCAATGTAAAATACAATGTAAAATAATATTTATATATAACCGAATGTACACAATAAATTTTATATACAATCAGAATTAAGTCTGATTTACAAAGTCCGATTGAAAAATAATAAATAAATTTATATTTTTTATATAATTTCAATTACATATAGTCACAAAAAATGATTCAAAAGATATTATTAAACTATTAATTCTACAAAAATTAACATTACAAGAATACGTATGATTATAAAAAAAAGTCGAAGTAAAGAAAGAGAGCTTAAAAAAAAAATAGAACTTAAAAAAATTCTCGTGATTACAACGGTCGAATAATGCCCCAAATACCACCTTCCACAGTGTTTAATAAAGCCGAATTATATTTTAATGGTAACTGCGTTTTCGGAGAAAGCTCTAGACTATATTTTCTCAGGAATGTAGCTAAACACGCTTTCATCTGAAGTAGAGCCATTCTCATTCCCACGCAGATACGCGGTCCCTCACCAAATGGAAGAAAGGCGAATCTCTCAATACTGTTCTTTCTGTCCGGACCGAATCTGTCGGGATCGAACTCTTCGGGATTTTCCCAGTATCGAGGATCTTTCGCCAGCGCATGGATGGGTATCAGAACTGGCGTTCCACGTTCTACGCGACAAACTACTCCATCAGATCCTTTTATCTCGATGTCCTCTGTACATATCTTGCTCAAAAATCCCAGTGCAGGTGTGATTCTTTGTGATTCGCTTATCACTTGATCCATATACGTCATCTCCCTCAAGGCTTCATAGGTAATAACGCCATCATACTTATTAAGCACAGATATCACTTCCTCGCGTAATTTTTCTTGCACTTTAGGATTGGTAGCCAAATTGTAGCCAATAAAGCTCAAAGTAGTGTTGGACGTTTCATTGCCATCGACGAAGAACGACATTGCGTGAGATGCGAGGACGGTCGAATCAAACTCATCACCTTCCGTCTTTTCCAGATCGACCATTAACTGAAGGAAGTCATTTCTGCGTGTTGTCTCCCTTCTCCTTTGTTCCATTATGTCTACGACCAGTGTTCTAAAGAAATGATCGATCTTCTTCGGTACTAGTCTCATCCTCAACATTTTACCCAACGACGGTATAAACAACACAAAAGTGAAGATAAGATTGTTCAAGCTGGACCCCTCGAGAAATGACTTGCCCATTGTGTAGAAAGATTCTTTCTCTTTCTCATCGTCGAAGGACATTCCGTCTACGCCGAATCCAGCGCCGGCTACTACTTGCGAGGTGAATCTGGCGAATAACTCCTTTAACTCCAATTCCGCTCTTCCGGTTTTACCCAGTTTCTTATCCACATAATTCTCGAATTTCTCGCACACCTGTTTGACACTTTCCAGCAGGATTTTCAGCCGCATGCTGGAGAACGCGTAGGTCAGGCGCTTCCTCCCGATAATCCATTTTTCACCGTAGTTGAAAAAAGGATTGTTCGCCAGGAGCGGGTCCAAGTCGGGATTAATCTTGAGGCCATTCTCATGGAAATTCGTGAAATTCGTCTGCAGCACAGTCTTCACTAACTCCGGCTCAAGAACGAACAAGGATGGTGTCATGAAGTTATAAAATCCCACCATGCTGTGATTCCGATTGTCATCATAAATCTTATTACTAAATTCTGAAAAATTTATCTTCATACGTACGACGTCCCACATGTGACCCAAGCCAGGCACAGCGCCACTCGCGCATGGTACGCCACGTTTCTGCCAATATTTGAAGTTTCTCGTCAGATAGAAATAAAGAATCACAAGAACTACGAGGCTCAAGAGTACGACTGTTACGTCCATTTCTATTCTTAAAGGAAACCGTACTGTCAGTCTATAGCACTATTGTTAAACTAGAATTGCTAGAATTGCTAGACTTGCAAACTCCACTTCTCTTAAAAGTAAAGCAGATGATAGCAGTGACCAATGACGAGCATGACGAGCATGACGCCAATTAACATAATAATACAGAGTGGTATTGAAGATAAACGCATAGATAAACGTTTGCTATTATTACGTAATATCCACGCGAAGCATGCAGTTTATGTAATGTTGTATTGCACATCAATTTTGAAATGTCATTAATCATTTTAAGGTTTAAAAATAATTTTGATTGAATAATTATTTATTTTGGCCGACATTGAAATTATTACTTCTTATTGACATTGACATTGGCGTTTCTTATGTATCACCCTATATTACAAACTAAAACGAGCGAATGAAGACTGCAATTGCTGGCTATTATTTAATAGGAAGGCGACCTATATACTATGTTACTTTAACTGTGTACATTCAGTTAAACTCGCGCAATGTTTGTTATTATATAATAAATTCACGTAAATCTAATCTTTCGTATTGTATATAATATATCGATTAATAATGCATCTTTTAACGTGTACTACAATAGTAAACAATTGTAGTAGAATGTAGCAATATGTGTTTTTATTAGATGAAGTCAGTGTAAGGTCAATCTATTCAAGCAGCTCTCAAGAGATGTTTTCGTTGACGCCGCGATTATTTCTAATAGCAAAGTTGCAAGTTGTAATAAAACATTTAAACAAGTAAGAACTTCATTTTATTCATTTTCTAAATTAATTTTTTTATTATATTTTAGTAATTTTATTTTAAAATTATCTTTAATTTTTTTTAATATAATATAAAAATAAATTTGAAAAATTTCTCTCTGAATATTAATTTTTTTAATAAAAGATTATACGAAAATAATTTTAATCCAATCTTCATTTTAATCCAATTGTGGAACATTGATTGATGTCATATCATAATAAACTTCACTTGGTAACCACCTTGGTAATCGTCAATAAATTTTATTATTGTTTTGCAGTCTCACTGGTTCATTTGCTGATCAATGTTATCAACATAGACTCGCTTCAGTGATTTCTCGCCGCAATAACCAGTCGCAACTGATACGTGGTCAAAGCTACATCAATCTATCTGACCAAGTATCGTCACACATCGAGAAAATCCGAAAGAACCGACATGGCCATCGTGTTGGTATCATTGATTGTCGGAGTGTTTGTTGCACTCTACCTATATCTGACTCGAAATTACAAGCACTGGCAGAAACATGGAATTCCGACTATTGATGGAGCCTTACCAGGATTCGGTCACATGTTACCAGTGATAAGCATGAAGACATACTTCGGTGATTTCTGTCGCAAGATCTACGACGACGCCAAAGGCCACAGTATGGTTGGCATCTACGATTTCACGGTGCCGGCGTTAATGATTCGCGACCCGGAGTTGATAAAGACGGTGCTGCAGACCAATTTCTCGAATTTTTCTGAAAACGCCATTTTCGTCGATCCCAAGTTAGATCCGCTCATTGCACATAATCCCTTCGTTCTCACCGGTGAAAAGTGGCTGGCCAGCAGAAAGCGCCTGACCTACGCATTCTCCAGCATGCGATTGAAGATCCTGCTCGAGAGTGTCAAGAAAGTGTGTGGAATGTTCGAAGATTATATCGACGGAAAGATGATCAACGGGAAAGCGGAATTTGAGATAAAATCTCTATGCGCCAGGTACACCGCACAGGTGGTGGCGGGCGCCGGTTTCGGCGTGGACGGATATTGCTTCGACGATTCGAAAAAGGAAATATCCTTCCGAGAAAAGAGCCAAGCCATTTTTGAGCCAAGCACGAGACACTCGATCATGTTCTCCCTCGTATTTCTTATCCCGTCGTTGAATAAAATCTTTCAAATGGGCTTTGTTCCCAAGCACGTCGATCATTTCTTCAGAACGTTGGTCGCGGATCTCATGGAGCAAAGGAGAAAAGACAGAATTCCAAGGAACGATTTTCTCCAATTGATGGCCGAGCTCGAACTAGCGGAAGGCGACAAGTTCGACATTGAGACGCTCACGGGACAGTCATTGTCCTTCATCATCGACGGTTATGAGACCTCCAGCACCGTTATGAGCTTCATTTGCTTCCATCTAGCTAGTTATCCGAAAGTACAGGAGAAATTACGTGAGGAAGTGTTGTCCATGCTCAATAAGTACGACGGTGCCATCACTTATGAGGGTTTGAAGGAAATGACGTATATGGATCAGGTTCTCAACGAGTCCATGAGGAAGGTGCCCGCGGGAACTATCATAAAGAAGCGATGCACGGAAGAGTTCGAGCTACGGGGATCCGATGGACTCGTCTACCGCATAAAACCTGGAATGGAAGTTCTTATACCGATTCAAGGCTTACACGAGGATCCTCAATATTGGGAGAATCCTGAAGTGTATGATCCCGAAAGATTCAATCCGGAGAGAAAAAAGAACATCGAGAAATTTGTCTATCTTCCTTTTGGCGAAGGCCCGCGAATCTGCGTGGGGATGAGAATGGCTCAGTTGCAGATAAAGGCGGGTCTGACAATAATTCTGAGAAAATACAGCATGGAAGTATCACCGAAGACGCGATTACCAATACAGTTGATTCCTGGGGCTATTTTGCCAACAGTAAAAGGCGGTTTATGGATCAGTTTCCGCGAGCTCTAAGTACGAATATTTTTGTTTAAACTCTTTTCGAATTTTCAGCAGTAATATCTTTATGTATGATAAGATTTGAAATATCTTATGTATGATAAAAATAACTAATTTTTACATAAAAATAAAGTTTTCCCTGAATTAATTTTAATTAGATCTTTATATAAAAATGTAATATTATAATACTCTTTAAAGTGTTTAATAATTCTTTAAGTCTCGTAAGTAAATGCTTTTTGTACAATATGTGAAAATGATAAATTTGTTATATATTGTTAATAAAAAAATAAAAACACAAAAATTTTACTATTTTCTATTATCTTATTATCTGTATTTTTATATAAAACTAAAAATATTTTAAGTATTTTAAATATCCTAAAAATAATTAAAAATATTATATATATTTGTTATAAAATAGCATGTGCAGTTTGCGTAGTAGATACCGTGAACGCAGCAAGAATGAATAATTAATTTTTAATAAATAAACATATTACTCACTCTTAAAGTACTTCAGCATTAATTGATGTCATCATCTTGTTTTCCTCAAATTCGTTCTTTTCTCGCGTATCTTCCTTGTTGTTTTGGCATTCGCAAATGCAGTCGCGAAAAAAACTATCATCCCGCGTACATCTATCATCACAATGAAACATTATGATTTAATATTACACATACATTTCAAACAATTTACGTAAAATACACGTATTATTAACCGTTTATTAATCAAATATGTACACAATTTCTTTATAATAGTTTTGTTCTATAATACAGTTGTTAATTTCGGATATGACGGGTAAATTAAATTCAAGTCAATGAAAAATTCGAAACGCGAGATACATATTTAAAATTTTTCTCATTTCAAATAAAATTCTTCTTGATCTTCTTATATAAGAACTCTTATAATAATAAAATTTTCTGTAATAATGAAATGTTTGCTATTTTGCCAAATTTGCACATTATAAGAAAACAATCGTATTTTTTCTGGACTTGTCCTTAAAAAATATTTAACGCATTATAAAATAAATTCAAATGTGTACACTAAACAATTATATAAAATTTTATAATTTTAGATGTCACTTAATGTTCGAATTTTTAATGCAATGCCTTAAATATTGCATTATACGCACTGAAGTTGAAAACTGATCATGAACGCTAACATTTTTCTTTATAAAATAGTTTACGGATCAAGCTGATAATAGCATATGAAAGATAACATTATTGAGTAAACTGGATTTTATATATATGGTATCAAGTATATAAGAAGTTGACATAAATTTATATATTTAACATATGTATAGAGAAATATATTAAAAGAATATATCTTTAATTATATTTTAATTTTTACATTTTTTCTCCTTAAGTATAATATATATTTAGATAGATCTTCAGAATTAGAAATTTAGAAATCATTTTATTTAAGTAATTAAAAAGTATAACAATTAGGAAGAAAAACTCGTCCTATCGTTCTTTGTCGTTTCTTCGTTGTTCTTCGTTTATTGTCTTACTTTTATATGTACATTACAAATAAAACGTATAAAGTAATATTAAAAATGTATCGATATTTTAACGAAAATTTATAGACCAATAACTACTTGTATCTACTTACAACTACTCATAGCTAACGTATATCAAGCGCATTTTCTTAAAATTAAATATTTTACATAAGTTATCTATCTTAATAATAAAAATAAAATAATATATAGAAATATAACAAAAAAATATATAAATTACGTTTTAAAAAGATTCGATGTTACCATTCGAGATTTTTCATGGCTGTTTGATAGGTCGGACTATTATCTGAATAAAACTGCGAGTACCAACGACGGTACGCGAGGATGGTGCGGTCCTCGCGTACAAGGATCGGTTGCCGTTCGTATTTCTTGTGATTCCAGATCTTGATGTCACGCTCAAACATCACACATTCAGCCAGAAAAATAATTTTGGCGTAGGGCGCCAATAAATGCGGTGAGAAGATCTGATGGGTCACTCGTTGCAGCAACGGTTCAATCGGCGTTACTGTCTGCAGAATACAGACAGTCCCGAATGATGTGTCGATCATCAGCTCAACGTAGCTGGGCCCGATTTGTTCAGCGCGCACTTCTATTTCCATCACGTTGAAGCGATTCAGAAGGATCAATTTGTGGAACATGTGCAAGCCGGCTTTGTGCTTTTCTCGTCTGCCAAAGCAGTTCTCCGAGACTGCAAGATGACGATCCCCGTTGCTGGTCTCCATAGGGTGAATCGACGTGCAGTTCAATTTGACGCGTTCAGTTTTCGCCACTTCCGCGTTCATGTTTGCATCCTCGTCCGTTTCATCATACGTCGAGTAGAGCGGCCGCCAATTCATATTGATGCCCCATAAATGTCGAGCCAGCCAGGATAAATTGCTGGAGAGAAACATAGCCGGACCGTGAACCACGTTGAGATGCGCTGGATCAGCCCCGTTCTCGGCTATATCCTATAAGAAATAAATCGACAATGTTCGTTAAGTTCGTTCTTGAAAAAGAATCTTTTGAAAAAGATTTTTCAGAGAACGATAAAGCGATAAATAAAAGAGAGAAGTAAAAAAGGGTAACTCTCTTTTTCTCTTCTTTAATAATTTTCTTTTTCTTCAATCCAATTTAAAGAATGATGACTGAATATAATTCATGTACGACTTGAACTATGTAGTAATTCTTTTCTTTTTCTTTCTAGGTTTCTCTTGAGTAATTTTTGCGTGCGTAACGTGACAGTGACTCTATCGCATTTGAAAGGTGCATGACAAACCTGTATGTGACAATTAACGATGAACTCATTGCGACCTTGGTAGTGCCATGTTCCATCGGATATATGAATTTGTGGCTGTGGTTGCCATTCCGGCTCAAGTGATTCGGCGTGGTACCAAACAAAAATGATGCGATTTACTTCGCAGCACTTCCAAACTTTCGCTCGAGCAATATGTGGCACTGTGACAAAAAAAAAAAAGAAAACAATTGAACATGAACAAATTGATAATTAGGATAAATATATCGATAGATAATTTCTGTTTTTTTCTAAACTTTCTTATCTCGCGATCAAGTAATATAAATATATCTTTTTTGCAATTAATCATATCACAATTATATAATTATAAATTAAGGAAAAAGAACTTTTTCTTATCTCGAACAATTCGTACAAGTTCGTACAATCAAAATTATTTTTTGTATAATAATTTATGTTATATGTACGAAAAAAATTTATATATAATACAATATAATATGTAATACAAAACAATGCAAGAATTACAAGTAGTTAGGTCAGTGCATGAGATATCGAGTCATAATCCATCATGAGCGTCTGATATTTGGGTGCAAATATTTTTGTTAAAATGCACAAACAGTCATCTCGATGCAGGAATGTGGTTCCAAGATGTAAAAAACGTCCGGACATCTTGGCTGATATATCTCAGGAACGAAAGGGTAAATAGACGTCGTGTAACACACGCGTGAGACTGAAATTATATAGAGGTTGATTGATACACACCCTTTTCGGTATAAGGTATACTCTCGCAAAAACCATCCTCTCCACGAAATGACCAGCTATGAAAAGGGCACTCCAGACAATCTCCCTTGACACGGCCATTCTCGGCCATATTTGCCCCTAGATGCGGACAATACGCATCTAAAATGTTGACAACGCCTCTTTCGGTTCTTGAAGAAATTGGTAAAACGTTATGTAATAATCGAAATAACACAAAACATCCTGAGATCATCCTGAGAAATGTTTCAAGATACCCTGAGAAGATTCAGGACACCCTTAGAACATTTTATGCTATCTCAGAAATATATAGAAAGTTTCAACTTCAAAATGACATGCCACGATAGTAAAAAGACAGCAATTTAATTATAATTATGTTACGTATCATTTGAATTAAATGTAATTTTTTGCAATTTTTTTATTTGAATTTCTTTGACAACCATCTATTAAAGAACATTTTTAATAAAAACATCTTTTTTCTTTTTCTTTTTTATAAAATTAATACATAGCTATTTTCTAATATTCTAATATTTAATTTGAACGTCCTAATATAATTATTTTAATCGCCCAAATAAATTACATTTAGATCTGTATCTAGCCAAATTTTTAGCAAGAGCGTGCATTTTTATCTCATATTTTTATTTTCAAACAATCGTTTCTAATATTTTGCGCTAAGAAACATTCGTTTGGATATTGTTTTATTTGCGATAATATCGTAATCTCAACCTGTTTATCAGGAAAGGAAATTCTGTATCCTGATATACCTGAAAACGGCAAAATTTTCACCAAGAGCAGAAACGTGTTTCACTTGTCCCTTTTTTATCTGCCAACTTTCGAGAAGAGCGAACCATCCGTTGGGGTACACAGGCGGTACTTTACCTGCCTTCCGATGTTTACCCACATTAACGCCGCAAATTTTCCGTGTCTTGTTCTTATTTCTCAAGTCCTTTAACAAAGATATCTTTCTAAAAAAAGATCCTTTAACAAAGATCTTAAAAAGAGAAAAAAAAACACGGAAAACCATCATTCGTATAATCAAACGTCATATGTACAAAATATTCAATTTCATATGACGGATATTTAGAATAAAAATTATTATTTAGAATAGAAAATATAAAGTTTTAAGAAGCGTTCCAGTTTGACTTGTTTAACGCATTTTATATGTGCACAATTAAAATGCATTATGCTGAAGAAAATTAATAAATATTAACAGAAAAAGGATTCTCATTAACCTTATTATTGTCCATTAAAACTATTAAAAATATGGCATGATTCACGATGATTTTCGAATCATCTGATGGCAGCAAACGACGTTAAGATCACTACTCACTTGGATCCAGTTGAATTTGAAGAAACACGCGAAGTAGACGATGATGGCCAGCAGGGTGGCCGCGAATCCGATGCATAATGCCGACATTATCACTTTTTATCCTGACTTTTATCCCGTTTCTTTCTTTTTTAGTTTCTTTCCCTCGACTTCCTTGTCTCGGGATGCCTCGTTCTCACTTCACTCGATTGCACAGCGGGAGTGTGCTCTCCTTGCAGGAGAGATAAACAAGAGTATACAAAAATAAGAGAAAAACGAGGACGGGGGTTAGAAAGAGGGGAGGAAAAAAGAGAGAAAAAGTTAGACGGGTTGGAAGAGGGTAGTGGAGGGGGAAGAGGGGGAGCTACTGGCGAAGAAGACGACGCCCGCGTTCGTCGGTAGCCGAGACAAAAAAGGGCTAGGAGGACTCCTGACGAGAAGGGACAGGACAAAAACAAGGACGACAGTGTGTGCCGAACGAGAGGATGAGAGGGAGAGATTGGCGAGGGAGCGGAGGGCGACGATAAACGCGCGGTATAGTTGGTTAATATGTAAGCGCACGTGCGTGTGCATCGGCGATGTTGCGATGCGTATGCGAGACCTATAGCCGGAGGGATAAAGGGACGGGTGACGTAGACGTCTGGAGAACGGGGCGAACCTGGAGAACGGGTGGTACGCGCGCCGATTTGGAGGACGCACGGAGAACGCGCGAAGGTCCCGAGAGAGTCGGAGATCCGATGGGCCGACGAAGAGGACGAAAGAGGTAGAAGGGGGGGGGGGAAAGAGAGTCGAAGAGAACAGGGGGCTCGGATGGAAAAGACGCGTTGACGTGGACATGAAGGGACCGTCCGGAACTCAGAAAGATTTTTGGACGACTGAAAGGCATGGGAGGTCCATCCATGGTTTATATACGCCAGCCATATCCTTCCGACCGGTCGTCTCTACCGAGATGCCGTGTTTTTTTTCCCGAGGCGCCGCGTCGCCCGTCGCCGATCGACTCGACGTGGCGTCGTGTCACGTAAACGGTTACCCGATTATGTATGCCCGGCCACGGACGGAGATGCGGACGAGCGAACGAGCGGCTTATATATCGTGCTACCTATATCACCGGATCTAAAACCGCCGTAACTCTTCTTCTTCTTCGTCTCCTTCTCCTCCTGCTCCTCCTCTTCCTCTTCTTCCTCGTCTTCTTCGTCTTTCTTCTCTAGCTTCTGCCTCTACGTCTCGACCGACAGACCGGCATACCTCTCTTTATCGAGATTGTATATCGATCGCGATGCCATCAGCTCTTCGACGTATACGTATATGTCCGTCTATCCGTCCGTTGGTCCGTTTAACATATCGATTTCAGAGGAAAAAATATCACAAGGATTCACATTTATATTCCGACTTCCCGGCTTCATACATGACCGTCCGCTATAAGCACAGTATTCTTCTTTTCCTAATGGTGAAGAAGGTAGTGCTCTCCTTCCGGGGTTCTTTGGTTCTCTCCGGGGTTTCTGTCGGTTATCTTGCCATTAAACTAGGGAACAGTTTTATCTGTAGTTCCTTTCTAAATTTTTTCCGAAATCCTGACGTCGCAAAACTTGGCTTCGTTTTTCAAATATTATCCGGATGTATAAATGCAACGAAAGATATCACGCTTGTTCGTCGAAGCGAAATGTGAGTCGACAGGTACGAAGAAGTTAATGCATCCGAATACAGAGGTAAGAACTTTAAAGTCCTTGTACGACTATTTGAATTAATGATATTGCAAAAATGGTAAAGAGAATAGGAAAGATATAAACATAAATAAAATATAAATAGATAATAAAAAAACATAGATAATAAAAATTTTTGTGAATTAAAATGGAAATAAGCTCTTAATAAAACATTTATTAATTAGTTAATTAATGGAACAAATTTGTAAACTTCGAAAACTTTTCTTTTTTGTTTTGATATAATCAATAAATTATATCTAAAATTAAATTATTTAATCAAGAACAAAAACAAGAAAATTTCCTTTTCATCAGCAAGAGCTTTAATAGAAAAATCTAAAGCAAGAAGCATAGGCAAGTTATTAATCAGATCTTCCTGGAGAAATTATAAGCAATTCAATATATAAAATAAAAATATAAAATTATTCATTTAAGATATTGGATATGCTTTTGCATTTTGCTTTTAAAGCAAAATTAAAAATATATATACGGTCGAGCAAGCTCATTTTGAGCTCATTCAGTCATTTCTAGAAACTCTCATTTGTAAACGGCCCGTAATTGCGAACGAATTTCCAGAAATGACTTATTGAATTTATTAATTTAAATTCATTAAAAATAATCGTTCAAAATTTTGCCGCGATTCTTTTGATTGTCTACGTGAATTAACATTTGATCTATATACGTTACGTATTGTTTACATGTTGACATTCTTCACATTATTGTTTATTGCGATAAATATTATCACATGTCTCAATGGTTGAAGGATAAGATACTCGCTTGAAAAGCGGGAGATCCAGGTTGAGATAATATTTTTCGCAATAAATAATTTCTTACAGGTTTCTAATTATTATTAGAATATTTTTGGGAGGATTAAAACAAATCGTTCGATTGCTACGTTTTCAGATCCGTAAATAAACGGCCCGTAGTTGCAAACTAGAGAATGTCTAGAAATGACTTATTAAATTTATTAATTTAAATTCATTAAAAATAGGCATTCAAAATCTTGCCCGACAGTATATATATATATATATATATATATGCAGTATATGTGTATATGCCGCAATTATTTCGACTGTCTATATGAATTAAACACAGTCTAGCCTATGTATATGTATCAAATTTTGTTATTAAAGAAAAAATAAAACTATTCGTCAAATTTTCCAATAATTAATTATAAGTAATTTAAAGATCTATTAATATCACTATATCGAATTTTAATTTGTTATAATTTTGAGCAAGAATATTTTGGACAAAAATAATTTATTAAATATAATTTTGATTAAAAATAAACATCATTAATTTTCCTCATAATCTTAGGCAACATATAATTTTATATTTTTTAAAAGATTTTTTTTTTATTCAAAATGATGCATTTCTTTTTCTACCGCATTGAAAAATGTAAACAGAAAAGTAAATGACCGATCCGCAAGAATTCGCAAGAGGGTAGAATACTTCAGGTAGGAAGATATCATCGTTGACCTGCTTTTGTAATTTAAAAATCTGTGTCAGGCTACTGCCCATCGCTATCTTAAGCAATCTAGAATAAACGTACTGTACGAGCATACATTCGAAATGTGTGTAACGCGTCCCTGACGCACACGTAGGACAAATTAATTATTCAAACGCGTAGCAAGACGAGAAGAAACGATCTCCGACGAGAGATCAGCGACGCCGATAGCTTCCATCGTAAATGGCGCGTTTTTCCATTTATCAAGATACCTATCCCTCTCTCTTTCTCTTGATCTTCCTTTCTTCTTTTCACTCTTCTTTTCTGTCTACCTTCCGGACAGGTTCGAAATTCTAACGTTCGGTTCGCGCCGCTGGAGTATAATATTATTCGTTGAGACGTCAATAATGAGATCGTTTGCGCTCCTTCCTATGCTCATTCGCTTGCGAAGCTTGAGCAGAAGATAACTATACTAATACGTGCTGCACTGCGTAGCAACAATCAAAATATTTGAACAATGAATCAGTTCGAAAGTGCTTAACTGCCATTTTTCGCAATGCAGAACATGGGACGATCATCTTTCAATTCTCAGCTGATGTTAGAAACGCTGATGTTAGAGGACACCATGATTGGAGTGATTTTACGGACTTTTAAGACTTCTTCGAGAAATCTACAAAAAAAATTCGAAAGTAATTGTTAAATTGAAACAAAAAAAAAACATTTTCATTAAAGCTTCATTAAGCTACAAAATTAAAAATTTTATAGTTTGAAAAATCAAAATTAAATTAAGAAAATTAAAATTTGAATCAAACGATAAAATTTTCTAAATTTAGAAATTAAAAATATAGAAAAAAATATATACGATATTCGTAATGTGAAAATGAATTCTTAATAATGATAAATAACATAATCCCTGACGAAAATAAAAATTGGAATAAGTTGCGTTAAAAAAGTAAAATTAAAACGCTTCTTTTACGTTTCGTTGTTCTAATCTACGTTCTTTAGAACGTTTGTTTACGTTTTTGTCATTTTTCTCTTATATTCAACTTACGGTTTAGTTTTTATTTTCGCCAGAGATATATAATATCTTATTAAATCTGTTATATAATTATTTAAAATATTTACTTTTCATTTAAATCATTTCACGTGTCGCAACTTTTAATATATACTAATCCAATATGATAAACAACCTGCCAATATATCTCCTATTTCTTTATCATAATAATTATATTTTATTTATTTATTTATAAAATTCAATAGTCAAGGCTTGCGCAATATTGTTGAAATCAATTTTCATTTATTTTTCATATTGTTTAAATGTGCTTACATTTACTCACAGCATTCAAAATAAATGACTTTAGCTATATCGATATGAGTGTGTGTTCAGAAATTCAAAACCACAGTGTAATCAGTACAGAGATTCTGTGTCGGTATCTTTGATTTCTACGTGACGATCGTATGACCATTTCGCCAGGAAATTAACGTAGAAAATCAAGCAAGAACGAATAAGGAATCTTAGATGCCCTCATCATAAACATAATCCTTTCTTCAGTTCTATAAATTTTCATAATGGATGCATTCCTATTCGTTATTCAATTGCAATCGGGTCCGGACAAAGACATAACCTACGTGGATTAATCCGCACGGCTACGCATTTTTTGCTAAAACAGCTATTAGCTATATTATTAGTTATATCATGCCAAAGTTGGCCAAAACGAACGATTGAAAATAGCGCTTATAAGCGCAAACGCTTGCAGCGCGTGGCGTCCAAAGTAAATACGAATACGCTTGTAGGAATCCCCAAGAAGTATGGACTCCAGTAACGGGATTCCCGCACTCACCTGTCCATCTACATGGAATGGACGATCCGTGCGTTACCGTTGAAGCGGAATTGATATACCGTATTTGCAAGCGAAGTCTTTATAATTTTGATAGAACTACGTTACGGAGAGACGCCACGGAACGTTTGCCGCGAGCGCTGAGTCTAGTCGGGGAAAGCATTTTATCTTGAAGTGAAGCCTCACGATGGGTGTGCCGAAATTTTTCAGATATATCAGCGAGAGATATCCTTGCCTTAGCGAGGTCATAAAGGAACATCAGGTATTGATGGAGAAAGAGAGATAAAGAGAAAAAGAAAAGGAAGGAAAAAAGCAATGTAAATTCCGAATTGAAGTTCTCTTTTCCTATCCTACCTTTGTTTCTTTATCTCTTTTTTTCTTTATTTCAAACTTTTTACAATATTTTACTTGCCTAATGATTTTTTTTTACTGTTTCGATCAGCATCACACATCATTAACGATTTCTTGTTTTGTCCTCTCTTTTCAGATACCAGAATTCGATTATTTATATTTGGACATGAACGGTATCATACATGCATGTTCCCATCCGAGTGATGATGTTTGTTTTCGCATCTCGGAGGAAATGATTTTTAAAAATATATTTCACTATATAGAGGTATTATTTAACATGATTCGCCCACAAAAGTTGTTTTTCATGGCGATCGATGGTGTAGCACCTAGAGCTAAAATCAATCAGCAAAGAGGTCGACGTTTTAGATCGGCCAAAGATGCCGAGGTACAAGAGGCTAAAGCCTTAGCCAAGGGTATTCCAATACCTAATGAGAAAAGATTTGATTCAAATTGCATAACCCCGGGAACACTTTTTATGGCTCAACTGGGCGAGCAGCTCAAACGTTTTGTCGAACATAAGATTTCGACTGATGATGCATGGAAAAAGTGTAAAGTATTATTTAGTGGCTCTGAGGTAATTATACAATGATGTAACTTAAGAGAGACAGATATAGCATGTTTTGTTTTTTTGTTCTCTTTGAATAATATACAAATAGAGATATTTAACATTCAATATAATGGATCAAATTTTTTAGGTTCCTGGTGAGGGAGAACATAAGATTATGGATTATATAAGATATATGAAAGCAAGCAAGGATTATGACAGTAACTCTAGGCATTGTTTATATGGCCTAGATGCCGATTTAATAATGTTAGGGCTCTGTTCTCACGAGCCAAATTTCTCTCTTTTGAGGGAGGAAGTCAAATTTGGTAAACAGCAAGTGAAAACTACTCCTGAGGAGACAAAGTTCTGTCTCCTTCATCTATCGCTTTTGCGAGAATACATAGAGCACGAATTTTCACCACTTAAAAATAAGCTATCTTTCCCATTTGATATCGAGAAAATAATTGATGACTGGGTTTTAATGGGTTTTCTTGTGGGAAACGATTTTATTCCCCATCTGCCAAATTTACATATTGCTAATGGTGCACTGCCAATTCTGTACCGTGCATATATGGAAGTATTACCAACGCTAGAAGGTATGCCATTAGTTATTAGTATTTTGAAATTTATATCTTTTACATATATAGTTAAATATATTATTTTTCTTTAGGTTACATAAATGAAGTGGGAACGTTAAAGCTTGATCGTTTTGAAAAATTTATGGAGAAACTTAGTCGCTTAGATGTAGAACAGTTTAACGAGCAATACGCTGATATAAAGTTTTTTGAAAGTAAAACAGGTAGAAGGCCCAATGAATCTGAACGTCATGTATATAAGAAATCAGAAGACAGTGATACTGCATCTCCGAAGAAAACACAAAATAAAGATTTAGATGCTCTTATTAAGAGTACTGCGGAGATGGTATTTATTGAAATATACTTTTTAACGACATTGTAGGAAAATAGATAAATAAATAATAATTAACACTTTGTAACAGTCCTTAGGTAATTTTGACGATGATGATATCTTTATAGAAGATAGAGATATGGATTTAATAGATGACGAATCTGATAGTGATATATATAACATGGAATTTGTACAACATAAAAGAGATTATTATATGAATAAATTAGAATATGAAAACGTCGATGAGTGAGTATTAATTTTATAAATGTATGATTTGGCACAAGTTGTCCATATTATTATTTTCACAAATACATTTTGTTTCCAGAGAAGTTTTACGTTCGCAGGCCGAAGGCTATGTGAGAGCGATACAGTGGAATTTGCATTATTATTATCATGGCTGTTGCAGTTGGTCATGGTATTATCCACACCATTATGCTCCGTATATCTCAGACATAAAAGACTTCAAGGATTTGAAGTTGGAATTCGAATTGGGAGAACCTTTCTTACCTTTTCAACAACTGTTAGCTGTTTTACCTGCATATAGCAAGGATCTGTTACCAGAGGCATTTCAATCGCTATTAATAGAGGAATCTTCTCCTATTATCAATTATTATCCACATAATTTTAAAACAGATCTAAATGGAAAGCGGCAGGAATGGGAAGCAGTTGTACTTATTCCTTTCATTGATGAAAAACTGTTGTTGTCTGGTAAGTGGTATCCTTTTCTGTGTCTCTTGGAGATATGCATATCTATATGAAATAAATTATATATTTAAATAAATTTAATAAGGCTTTATTTGATATATTATAAATATATTATATAATATATAGTATAAAATATATTAAAAATTTTTTTATTCATCCATAATAGCCATGCAACCGCATTTATCGAAATTAACAACTGAAGAACGAGCAAGGAACAATCATGGACCAATGTGTCTATATTCATATACCGAAGAAATCCGAAGTGTTCACAAGGCGACAGTATACTTTCCAGAATTCGTTAGTCATGCTCAAGTAAAATTGATGAATCGCGATGATATTTTCGTCCCAAGAGAACAATTAATTAGAGGATTGTCTCCAGATTTTAATCTCAATCTTTATTATCCAGGATTTCCTATATTGCGACACTTGAATCATGTAGCGCATTTAGAAAAAGCCAAAGTATATATCGTTGGAATTTGATATCACTTGAAATCTTGATTGTCTTGTTATATAAACATTTTTATAGGTCAAAGTATTTCAACAACATTCAATTGGAGAAAATATGATTTTAACTATAATATCAAAGCCAACACCTAATCTGACAACTTTGGCGTCGGATCTATTGGGGCATAGTGTTTATGTGGAATGGCCTCATTTAAAAGAAGCTCTTGTAATTGGCGTGGCCGATTGTGATACGAAACTTAGTTTGATCGATCCATTAAGCAGTTACAACCAAGATAATTTGAAGAAAGAAGATGTGAAAGGCACTTTACTTGCGGAATGGAAAGAACACAAGAAACAAATCAAAGACATGTAAGACAGCACCAATGCTCTTATCAATAATGAAATAATATTGAAAATGTAATGTAATATGGTATTATATGATATTAAGTACGTGACGATATATTTTAGATACATGTCTCGTCTTGGAATAGATATAGGTGAAACGGACGTATTGCTTTACGTTCGTTTATTCCTGGGTAACAAATATATTTTCGGTAGTCAAGGAAAAGTCACAATTGAAAAACAGTGGAATGATTATCCTGCTGTTTATGCTTATCAAACTATAGTCAAAGATCTTTTTGTCTATCGTGAGAAATTACCAGTCTACGAAACTATGCATGATATTTTTATACCAGGAAGCTTCTGTTTCATGCTGGGACATCCATATTATGGTGCAATGGGAGAGGTACAAGGCATATGTTAGATAACTATATCATATTTTTAATTAACAGCAAAATTATTCGATAAATTGACTTTAAATTCATTGAAATCGCGTGTAGTTTTACTTAAGAGTATTTTCTGAATTTACAGGTTATTCAAAATAAGGATAGTTCAAAATCACGTAGAATTAAAATTTCTATAAAAGCTATAAGGGAGCCTGCATTTGAGTTCATTAAACAAGCCTATGCGCAACAGAAGACTCGGTATATGCACGGTAGTATTGCTGCGCAACGTCTTGGAATAAGCAGTCATCTTTTGAGTAGAATTACTGGGACAATTTATGTTATACAACCATCGAAGGATGAACTTTCTAAATACAATCTTGGATTGAACCTAAAGTTTAATAAAAGGAATGAGGAGGTAAAGAAATGTACATAAGAACAAATTTGATTCATTGTTACGTTAAATATAATTTTATAGACAATTGATATATATATTTTAAATTATTTTCTCTTTTTAATCTGTCAAAATTTTTGTAGGTACCTGGTTATACTAGAAAGGAGAATAGTCAATGGTTATATAGCACGAAAGCAATCGAACTAATTCGAAATTACATGGTGAAATGTCCAAACTTGTTCGAACGTTTGGCACAAAATGTAACGAATGATATTTTCCAAGAGGAAGAATTATTCGAGAAAGGGTACATTATATATATTTTCTTATTCTCTTTTTCTAAAAAAAATATATGTATAGTAATGATATAATAATGAATATTATGTAGATCGGATGGGTTGAAAGATACAGTTGCATGGCTGAAAACAGAATTACATGATATGGAAAGTCGCCCTTGCGGTATGGAGGTCATCGAAACAGACTTGATAAAACAGATTGAGGAAGAAACAGAGGAACACTTGAAGATTTCCGAAACGGCAAAAGTAGTCTTCATGCAAGTGAAGCCGCAATTACTTTATAAACCGGGTTTACATATGCGCAGCGTGCCGCCCGATCCAAATTCTCAAAATCGTTTGTTCGATAGAATTCGCTGTGTCAGAAGCGGCTTTAGTGTACCGCTCGGAGAAAAAGGGACTATCATAGGAATACGAAAGGGGAACAATCCAGCAGATACCATGTATGATGTTTTGTTCGATAAGCCATTCATTGGTGAGAAACATAACTTCCGGAGACTTCAGACATTAAGTCATTACATAAGATTTAGTAGAATATTTTTTTGTTTATACAGGTGGACTTACTTTACATGGTTGTTCTCAATTTCGCGGTTACCGTTTGGCACCTACGGATTTCATAAACATCAGCTTCGGCGAAAGAACAGAACAGGGAAATCCGGCGAATGAATCGTTAGATTGCCGAAAGCAAGCGGCGAATTCCGTTTCTCCTAACAACAAGAAAGAGCAATCATTAAAGGCATATCCGCAAATGCAGCTTGCTAAGAAGGGGCTCGAAAAATTGAGTCGCGATATTCGCTTGGGTATGCAACACGGCTCGGCAGAATTAAGTCCAAAAACAATACCGTACAAAGCGGTTCCTCAGAATCCTCAGAATACGCCGCCTAATCAAACGTCTGAGTTCCAAGCGTTATGGAATGAACTGCACAAGATACAGGTTAATATAAATAGAGTTAGTGTAGATACAGAATTGTTAGGTCGTTTCACGAATTTTATAAAGATTATTGTTACATGATAGAAGCCGAACGGACCGCCAGAAAAAGCAACATCCAGTCCAATGCCGACAAAAGTCAAGCCGTTTAGCAACAATCATAATACACAATCGGTAAATACAATTGCAATATTTATGGAAAAGGAAAATTTATAAATTCGGTTCAATTTTCTTTGAACTTTTTTGAGACTTAGAAAAAATATGTTACAGCTGCAAGATCCTAGTGCGTTCTTGAAAGCTATGCTAAAGATTCCTGATGTAAATGCACAAACGAGTAAGCAACAAAATAAACAACCAACGCCGCAGCTCGTGACGGCGCCTCAGAAAGTAACGGAAAAAGAGCAAACTTTGGATCCTCCACCTTTGGTGCAACAACTATTCGATGTACGCATCTGTTCAATGCACTTGCACTATGTTTAAACATGTTTAAATATGTTTAAACATATTTAAACATTTAATAATTTTACATAAAAATGTTTTTTTTTCAGCACGCTCGACGAACAGAACAGAAAAAAGCAAATCCAGTCTGGTATACAACACAATTGTTAAGACACTTCTCGTATAATGGAGCTGGCATACCAAAATATAATTATGTTAATGACGACAAAACAGGATTAATTACTGCTAACGTTATGGTGGAAAATGCAAAGATTTTTAAGGGTGATCCAAGTACCAGTCATGAACAAGCCGCAGAAAGTGCTGCGAAAAAAGCGTACAAGGTAACTCAAAAAATTTATTCCAAAATTGTTTTTAGACTTTATTAATATAATGATTTTTCTTGTCAGGCATTAAATTTGAATAAGGCATCTGCGCATGATGCAAAAATACCAATGGCACCTCGACAACAGTGGTTTAATACTCAACAGAACAACTGGATTCAGAATATCCGACCTCCTGTAATGCCTCCTGCCATGAATCAGATGAAAATGCCGCCAGTTCCACAGACTGTGCCCATGCAGCCTAATTTATTTTATCCAAAGTGGAATCTAAAATTGCCACCGAATCCAGCGTTCGGACAGATCGCGTCGTATAGCCAAGGCAGGCAACAGCAAGTGAAACACCAAGGGCAATCAAAAAGTTCTCAGAACGGTTCGAAGGTGGAGATTAAAAACAGTACCGCGTTTGTTCCGTTGCAAGCTCAGAAAAAGAGTAGAAATGCTAGTGTACAGCAAACCTCAAAGGAAACGAATTCAAATGTCAAAAAGAGTTCCAGTCCTAAACAGCAGCAGCAACAGCAGAAGAAACCAGATGAAATACCCAAGGTTCGTAAACAAAACATTAAATTGTCTCTTATTTTGTAATAATATTTATAATGAAGTGGAATAATTAATTCTTTACGCGCAGAGACAGAAATCGGAATTTGTAAATAAAGCCAAGGAGAAGACGTCGAATGAGCCGCAGCAACAGTCGTCACAACAGCCGTCGCAACAAACGCAGCAAAATACAGGGAAATCGTCCAAACCCAGGAAATCACGCGTCGCCGCGAAATTCGGCGCACCACCTTTGTCAAACGGCGGTGAACCGCCCAAGTGAAAACTCTGCTTTGTCTTTGGATGAAGCAATCTTTGCAAATTATATGTAAATATAAAATAATTATACCATCGATTCATCCTTCCTATCACCATTCGTTTTCTACATTTTATAATAAAAAGCAGAACTTCAAGGATTTTCAATGGGCCAGTATACATTTCATTTCGAAGATTACATTGACTATATTGACCCACAAACATTTTTCATACTTATAATACAACTGCATATATCCGTGCACTAAATAACATGTAGACCTTTTCACAAGTCAAAAATGTATATACACGCACCGAACTTATATACATAACTATGTAAAAATATGAGATCAGATGATTGTTTATTTTATATCTTTTGCATTTTTCATGATGAACTGACGTGTCACTTGTCCTAATTAGCATTGCTTGTCATTTACTAATTTTGCGATATTTCATCAGGACAATTTGTAACTACGAGAGAGTTCGAAAATTATTCTGATTATTATTTATCTATATATTATTTATCTATATTATGATACATAAAAGACGGAAATAAAACTAAATCATGAAAGCTTTAGTAGATACATCGTTTATGCTATTTTTTTTGTTTATAGTGTACTTTTAGTTTTTGTAAAATACATTGTGCATGATTTAGACTATTCTTGATTATAAGTTTGTATTATTTTTGAGCATAATATCTTTTCTTTTTTTTTTAGGAATATTTTCAGTTTGTAACATTGGACTGCAGAAATCGATTGATTTTATTTTATAATAATGCATCATGCGATTTTTATTGCGACGTATTTATCAATTTGCATATAGGCATTTAATGTGAAGCAGCATTATGTAAGTGATATATATATATATTTCAAATATTGTGAAAAAGTGATATTTAAGTGCGTAAATAGAAATGTATATCTTCGACGAAATTTGTCTGTTCCTTCTTTCTTTGTACTATTAACGAAGCAGAAATCAAAATAGAGAAACAAAACTCTAAAGTGTTTCGATTTTATTGTACAATAAAGAAAGCACAGAACACAAATTGTGTGCTAAATATATTTGTAATCTTGATCTCGTGATTATTTTCAATTCGTTTTATATTTCTTCCTCATTTCATAACAATCCTGTATTTAAATTGTGAATTATTATTACGTTGTTAATTTTAATTACTATTAATTTTAATTATTATTCGATCTGTTTTATATCAGTTTTGTTGTATTCCTTCAAATTATTTCACGCACTTTTAAAAAGAGAAATGAAGAATTCAAAATAGCTTTCTCATTTTAAATTTATATTCCTCGAAACAGAAAGGTATTAGATATATACATTTTTTTTGTATTCTACTATTTTCATTGTAAATTTTTTTCTTATCGCTATTTTTATCTTGCACCACATAGACACTCGACTTCCGTATATTCTGTACATATCTGTAAATTAATTGTAAGTGCTTCTATATCACACAATCGATGAATATTTTACAATTTAAGTATATAAATGCATAAATCTGTATAAAACACGATTATATACATTATGCATCGTTTATTATGAAGAGATAAATTATTAATTATGTCAATTTCTGTGTGTTACATATAATCTTAAATCGATCATCTCATACAGTAAAACTTATCCAATCGATATCATGAAAGTTCTATTGTCATAGTCCTGTCTTCTGGCGACATTGAATACTAAATTCCTTTAGTACATCACAAAGTCGCCCCCTATTTGTTCTCTCACGTAGAATGCGTGTGATATCATCCTTCTGTATTACAAGGGCAGCAAGGTTTTTTTGATTCTCTAATCCGGCACGTAACCATTGTGCGGTCCATTCCGGACACGTTTTATTCAACGCCAATAGAACTTCGGCGTGAGGTTCCAAATTATTATGAGGCACCGCTCCACCTAAGAGAAAAGAGGAAAGAAATAAATTGGCGATCGGATTCATGTGGCTTCGTGGACGCGTGATCCTGACATGGGATATGTTTCGCTTACCGACGCAATGCAAAATCGCGGAGACGAGTTCCTGTCCGATCGGTTGAATAAATGTCTGCAGATGCGGGCTCTGCACGATCGCATGACTAAGGAAATGTCCCGCCGCCTTGGCTGTAGGTGTTTCGGGAAGTGTTAAACAAGCAATCCCTATAAAAAGAAAGTAATATAAGTATATTGTATATGATCCTTATGTTTCTAAAGATCAATGACATTATGCTTACCGCATTGCAACATATCTGGTATTTGATCCGGGAATTGTAGCAACAGTCTAGCATTTTTCTTGCAGATCTGTGCGAGCACGCCCATATATGCCTCCATCAGTTCTGACCACTCGGACAGATCACCTTGCACCAATCTACACGCCTTCACGCCATTCAATGTTATTAAGCTCATCTCCGCGAGCACCGGACTTACAATGTTATCCGGATCTCTGCCGAACAGCAATACAAGCTGCTTTAACAAGTTTAACGCGGCTGGATGCGGCCAGATCTTGTAGGAAGTTGACAAAATCGTCAGCAAGGGTCGCGCCTCGATTTCTGGCTGCCGCAATGCCGGCAGGGATCGCAATGCACACATGTGCATTGCCTCCAACGTGGTATTGTCCTGGCTCCACTCGGGATGCGTGATGATCTGATTGAATACTGGCAGCACACCTTCCAACACAGCCTTACCGATCGCACCCTCAATCGTGCTAAAAAACATAGTGACCATTCTCAGGTAATTCGTCACGCCAAGCCGCGCTGTAAATAACGGCTGACCCAATAGCTCCTTTATCTTCGTCAGACACAATCCTAACGTCGCTTCCAGATGCACGAGTTGCTCTTCCATCGAAGACAACACATTAAGCAACTTTCCGGCCGCGTACATAAGCCGCAAGCCCTCTCCACCACCGGGTTCAACATTCGGTAGTGTCTGACTAATGGTATGAAGAATGGACGGTGCAAAAGGAGCGAGATATGGTCCGCATTCTCTCGTAATATCTTTCAGTGCCATACTCGCGAACGGTGCTGTCGCGGAGCCGTTGGTCAATCCTTGAGTAACAAGTTGTAGTACTTTTTCCAGCCAAGGTTCGGGATGCTCTCCTATCCATTCGGCGTACGCGCCCAGCGTCGAACAAGCGCACGTCAGTACCTAATTGCGAATTGAATCAAATGTTAGAAAAAAAAAACTTTCAAAGTTAATCACATTTATTTCAAAAATATACAGAAAGGTAATCACGATTAATCGCTATTTTCAAGAAAGTAACTGTACATACCTCTTCGGGATAAAGATGGTAAGGTATATGAGTGAGAATCAAGTTTATCAGGGCAGGAATATAACGACATTCTTGCGTGCCAACGCTTTCGGCCAGAGCTTTAAGCGCATGCAATGTTGATTCTACATGGGTCCAAGATGAATCCTCCATGCTTAATCTTTGTCCAAGAAGTGCCAAAAGATCATTTCCGAGAACACTGTAGCAGTAATCCAACGTGTCCGCCACATCTTGTCTGTAACATCTGAAGAGCTCGCGCTCATCCGCATTCCCTCGCTCGTTCGGAGATATAGGTAATGTCGATTTTCGCAGCAATGCTTGAGCTAATCGGAAATAGATAGGCTTTAACGCTTCTAGAGCTCGGTTCTCCAATGGTTGATCCAGCGTGGCGAGATCATCCTGCAATGCGTACCAGAATCCAAATGGGATACAACTACGCGTCTCATCCGTAGGATAACGTCCCTCCTGTTCCGAGCATTCCAATAGCAACTCGATCAGTCCCATAGCCGTCCACGTATGTGCCTCATCGGAATTCTCAACCAGAGCAATCAAAAACGCTCGACTATGAGCCTCACCAATAGCAGTTAATATCTCGCAGAAGAACTTTCTATTGTATTGCTTTGCCATTAATACTAGGCTTCTGGCCCACTCCCAGAACGTCTGAGGTCGTTTATGAAGCTCATAGTGAGTTACAATCATGATTAAACACTCTTGTACTATATCCCATGTCTTACTATTCTCAATGTCATCATGACTTTCTTCTCTTTAATAGAAAAAAATTGAGGTTTTATTTAATAATTTTGTAACTCACACCTATATTATTTATTCTGTTACTTTTAATTTAATCGAAAGACCTAATATATGTCAGACTTTTAACAAATATATATTTTCTTTATCACAATATATAATTAAAATTTACATTGTTCTTTAGTAATATAAATATACCTGTTAGGTGCGTAATGAGCTGCAGCCACTAATAAATAAGGATAGATTTGGCCAGTGGTTTCTAAAGGTAGTTGACCAACCTTAAGCCACGCTTGAGCGCATTCCAATGCTAAAGAATATAATACACTGTCATTGCCTTGAGAATCTGGATTACACATTGAAAAAACCTGTTGCAGAAACCATACGGTTTGGCACCAGCTGTTGATCAAGTTAACAAGAGCTTCCCGCAGTTTGGCACTCTTCGCTTCGTGTTTCTTCTCATACTGATCAAAAGTAATCGCATATTATTTTGTCGAAAAGCAAACATTAAGTACTTAACCTCCAATCTATATAAGATGTTTTACCTCAACAGGAAGTGTTGAGAGTACTCGAAGCAATAATTCTAATGCAGATGGGGAATTATAAGGTAAAATATCCAGCAATTCATCCACTATACTCCTATCCTTTTCCCCGTTTCCCCCACTGTAGACATTGGCCACAAATGCAGCTAACTGAAAGCAACATCGGCAATTCGTAGATATGAAAATCTATAATCCAATAATTTATAATGCACTTGTTTGTCTTAAATAACAATGAGAAATATATTACTGCCTGACAAAGCTTCGTAAGAATACATGAGGGAGTGTTGGGTCTTCTCAAACTATTGAGCAAACGTTCCCTTAATACCGGATACTCAATTTCAGGCACTTCATTCCACTGCTTGGATATCTTCGCGTGCAGAGTCGTCGCCGCAAAAAATTGTACTTCAAATGACTAGAAAAATAATAAAACCTTTATACATCTCAAAAAAGGGAGTGAGTCAGCTGTGCTTGTATCATTCAAAAAAACTTGTCTCCAAATATTTTCAGCTTGTCCCCTTACTATGTCGCTACTTCATACCATTGTTCAAAAGCAATGTCAAAAACATTGCAACATTTCTGCAGTATCCAATTGGATTCTGCAACGAGTGACGAGAAAAACGCATAATAAGAAGACAAAACCGAAGTTCGCATGGGAAAGAAAGAAAGAGAAACTCTCGCTGATATAAGGACCTTGGAAGGATCCAAAAGTTGCCAGACAAAGTGCCAGGCCTCGGGGGAGGTTTGTACCCGCAGGAGCCACGAGTGCGCCTCGTTGTTGCCCGCCGAGTAAAATTGCCTGACCGCGTCGTCGACGATCGTTGCATAATCCATGCCAAGCGTTTCGCGCGACAGACGTTATCCTCACAGCATACGCGCCTCTTATTAGGGCAATCCGCACGCGGAGAGAATCAACACGACTGCGGTTCCGTCACAAACGTTTGTACATTTAATCAGTTCTTCAACTGATTGCACGTCCTTCCAGTCTCTTATCATCTTATTTTGAGAAATTCAATAAAACTCGTATGTTTTCCATCCGCGCGATGACACATAACCTAATCTAACCTAACTCGAACTGAATAATCCTAATCTAACTTACTAACTCACCATGGCCATCTTTACGTAAACGTGAGAATTAAAGTACAAATTTCGGAGATTTAAAATTATACTAGATATAGCGTCAGCTGCTTATATACAAAATAGAGCTTATATACAAATGAAGTTTCAATCCTTCAGGAATTTTCCATCTTGCAGTCAATCAACAGATTTAAAAACATTTATCGTATGGCAAATGCAATAAGCCTTGTCTATTTTTATTAATATCTATTAACTTTAATTTTATCTTTTACTTTCAAAATTTAATGAAAATAAGAAGTAAATTAAATCAAGATAGTCTTTCTAATTAGTAAAAATAAAGCTTTTGATCTCGATAAAAAAAAGCGTTCCAAAATGAAATTGGACAAGATCATTGATAGATAACTTTTCAAACGCCATACGTATATTGAAAGCGCGCGCTTTTTTTTACTCGCTACTTTAGGGAGACACTTGTTCCTGTGTAAATTTTTTTATTTTTTTACTACGTCGGAGATATAAACAGTATA